AGTTCCTCGGTTCGAACCCCTGGAAGGAGCTCTGGGTGGCGTTAGCTGTGCCAGCCTTATGAGCCCAGAGAAGGAGCGCGAGGGCAGGGGGAGAAAACCTTCTGAGCGTGGCCCGTGGGCCGCGTTGGAAAAGGTGGGCTCTGGAGAGGATGGAAAGCGCTGCGCCTGGACCTGGGAGCGTGCTTGATGTGGCTGAATGGAAGAGTTCCCTCCTGAGTAAGCGCGTGGGAGGCGGCTGCACAACGGCAGAAGGAGCAGGAGGCACAGGGCCCTGATTAGCATGCTTATAAAACCCCAAACTGGAAAGTATCTAATTACCTTCATCTTCCGTTACGGTTCCTGAAGTGAATCCCTGAATCTCTCTCTTTGCTTTAATTTTGGTAAAGAATGAAGACATAGAATTCATATAGTCTGATGGGATCAAAGTTAACTGTATGAAAAGCGATCGATCGCTTTTCCCCTTTCAAAATGCATTTAATGTTGAGAACGTGGTTTCCGGATGATTTTGGGGGTTGAGTTTTTGTGACATGATTTCCTATGGTTAACTAACATGCTGTTCTCAACCCAATGTTCATGGATTATGCAATACACTAAGCTGTTATCTAACCCGTAGGCTGGCTCCTCACAACATGCTGAGCTAAAATGTGGCTCAGTGTGTCACGTAAACCCAGCTGGAAGCTGCAACAAACACATACTTGATGAAGGAAAGGCTACGAACATCACTGAGCCTATTTCAAAGAAATAAATAACAACCTACATTTCCAGATCAGGTTATGCTAACCCAGCATACCAGCTGCTCAGTCCTTGCATAAAGGGACATGGTACCTCATAAAGAGATATCCCTCCACTAAACAATCCTGCTATACTCTTCATCTTGCTTCAAGAGATGGTAATTTCATAATTACAATAAAAATCTTTAAATTGTTGTAAAATTACAAGAATTGGTTGAATATGCAACCCTTATTTCATACCACAGACAACTTTTGGGGACAATCATCATGCTGGAGATACAATGCTGTTGTTGTATAAGATATTAAACATAGATGTCTGACTAGGTATTATGTAGTATATGGCAGGCATAATCCTGCCATAAACTAGGGCTCCCAGAGCTGGCAGCATAATTCTGGACGACCACCAGATGGCAGCAAGGAGACTGTCCATATTTTTGCAGCCCAAATGTGGCAGGTCTACATATTCTTCAATAACATGGGGCTGTGTGTTGCCAACTTGTAGTCTACGTCATAGTTTTGGAAGATTCAATACAACTGGGTTCATACTGCATGATAAAATATGACGTTATATTGGTTTGGATCTGGCCAACTGTGATTTATTTACTGAACTATTATTAAGTAGATAATGGTTTAACACAATGTGTGAATCCAGTTACCATAATGCTTTGCTTTAGACTACAGAATGAGCTTATTTTCTAAATCCAAGTTGAACTGTTACATGTTGAAATTCATTAGATCTCAGTCACTATGTAGGTACTTAATTATACTATAAAATGTGGTGAAGTAATCTAAGGAGCCGTGCCACCAGTAATTCTAAGTATTCAAACGTACATTATGACAAATTCCAAGCACAGCAGTGCTGTGTAAAAAAAAGTCTGTTTTTAAATGAAGATAAAAGGATTTTCTAGTGAGGAAAGAACAGCCAGATTTCAGGCTTTTATATTTATGAATAGTTAAAGAGAAACAGTACTCAAATGAGTAAAGGAAATTAATAGTGCTGAACCCTTTTTGACATATTTTTTCTATTTATTTTTAATTGTAATGGAAAAGATAATTTCATCACATCGATTCAATATCAAACAGTACTTATTATTAAATTATTATTATTGTTATTAAATTTTTGTTGGAAGAGAAAGTTCCCAAGATGCTCCTCTTCTGTGCTCATTGGAAATATAGGGCAGGGCCCTGATACCTATTTTAGCAAGACTCTAGCAGGTTTTTTTCCCCCTTACTTTTGGTAAGAGTGATTTTTAAAATCTTTTTTGTTCGAATTTCAAATTCACCTGTCTTACCATTAGCTGCTTTTGATTCAGTCTCAAAAATATATTTTCAGAAGTGATGACAAAACAATCAGGAATCTGGTAGCACCTTTTCCGACTAACATATTTAGTTGGAAAAGGTGCTACCAGATACCTAATTTTTTTGACCACCATAGATTAACGTGACTCTCCTACAGTGTTAGAAGCCCTGGAGGACACAGCTACTGCCAGATGCATGCCTATTTCACTTGCATTGTCACATTCCAAAATGCTCTGTCTCAGTTTGGTACATCATGACCCCTTAATGGAGGAGGGAATCTTTAGCTAGGGCTCAAATAAGTGCATTGAGTCAGATGTTAAGTCCCATTTAGTTCAGTGGGTCTTAATCTCAAGAAAGTATAGGATTGCAGTCCCCACACAAAAAGGCAACCTGGAGGAAGGATATTTGGATCTCATGCAAAACTGATTCACAACTAATAGAGGTATTGAGCCAAACAAAGATCGAGCAAAAGACAGCTCAAAACAAACACACACACATACAAATTAGAGGATTGAGCACCAAATGCTGAGAATATCTTTTAATTCAGCAGTTAAATGCAGGTATTATATCTGTATCTACAGTCGATAGCAGGCTGTTAAATCCTTTTCATTGTAACAGAGTCAGCAAATGAAAAGAATTGATTCCGCCTCATTCATGATGTAAAGTATCTTATTCACAGTATAATTTGAAATTTTGAAAAGCTGGGGAGGGATTTACAAAATAAGGGATTTTGCTAGTTTTAGGAAGGTGTAAGACTTCAGGAGATGAATACCTGTACCTTGATTTTTATTCTTTTCATGAAAAGAAGGAAAGGATTAAAACCAAAGGGAGCATCTTAAATAGTTAAGTGACTGCACAATAGCTGTGCAGTGACTCTTTCTAACTCTGGAGGTCTTGTAAAGTCAATATACAGTAGATGGCTGTAGGAATGAACTAAGAGAGCTATTGCTGGTCCTGTTCATTTTAACTGAAATTAAACATATTTTTTAGACTGAGTCCAATGCAGTAAGGTGTTGTAGACATAGTATCACTGAAATATCTCCAATATGATACTTCCTCTTTGGCACATTTCCTTTATAACCCATTTTTGAACAAACTTGATTCAGATGGATATAAAGATTCTACTAGATACTGAGAGAAAATAGCTGCAGAAAAGTTTACCTGCTACCTTCATATTTGAACATGCTTATTTCAATGGAAGAGGTAATTAGTGGGGGAAGTAAATATCAGTATTAAGAAAATTTCAAGAAAAACTGCCTTGCTCCTTCACTTCTCATGATTTTATCTCAAACCTCTAATCGCAAGTTTAAAAAATTAACAACTTTTAATTACAACTGTTTTAGAAACATGTTTTGAAATATGATTTTAATTCCTTCACTGGTCCAGATTAAGCTAACTGACAGTAATCCTTCTTCCTAAGTTACATTTTCACTATTATGATAGAAAGATACCAATTTTTGCTATCATACATTCTCTTCTGTAATGGAATAATGGAATGCATTTTGTGGATTTAATTTAAAATAGTTGATACAAAGTAATAGGACTACCAGATCTGGGGCGGCACTGGACTGTTAAAGAAGGTGGTCATTCAGATTTCTGCAGCCAGGTATGATAGTCTAAATTATGGGCTCATGATCCAAGAGCCTGGTGGTGACTACCATAGAAGCTAGTCTCAGTGTATATTCCTCTAGTAATCATCTGAAGCAGGAAAATACTGCCCTTTGGTACATTTCAAGACTGGGTTCTTAAGGCCATTCCCAGAGGCTTGACATACTAACAGTAGTATAAATCCATGGAGTGAGTGGATTTATACTATTGAAAAATTAACTAAAATTAAGCAGTGCTGCTCCACTGCCAGCTCTTCCTATCTCTCTTGCCTTTTGATTGGACAGTAAGATGATAGGTGGAGAATGGTGGACGGGTGATGGCTGAACTGTACCAGTGTTTCTGGGATGGCAGAAGAAAGGTAGGAGGAGGTGGAAAACAATGGGTTGGGACCTGATGAGCAAAAGAAAAGAAAAAGAGCAGAGGAGACCACTGAAGTAAAGAGGGTGAGCCCTTGAGAAGAAAGAAATGGATGGGTCTATGGGAAGAGAAGGAACAGAAGAAGCCAAGACCAAGGGGCCACAATGAAAAAGAAATGGGTAGGATCACATCTATGGTGAGGCCAGGTATCATTTTTTCCCTGACATAATCATAGACCTGACAGTAAAAAAGAAAAAGAAAAAAAAGTTAAAGGGATTTGCTACTTTGATCCCAGAAAAGGAAACCCACAGTTAACGCAGCCTACTTATGAGGATGATGCTACACTGAGAAGACATTTCCTGGTTACCATCTGGCCAAGAAGAGTTTCAGAGTAGAATGAATTCACGAGAGAAAACAGATTGTGAATTGCAGAGGATGAAGTTCATGTTGCTTTAGGCACCATGGGAGGAAAGGATGAAATCAGGGGCAGGGAAGGTGAGAAAGAGAAGGCTGATTTTTCTGGTGAAAATTTGTGGAAAACGTAAAACAGTTTTTAAAACCGGAGGGGGGGGGAATTCTAGATAATCCTAATCCTGTCTCTGTAGAGCCTAAGGCATTCTGCTTTATCACCCTGCCTTCTGAAAACTTCACCTCCCCAAAGTGTTCACAGCTGCTAAAAGGGCAGAAAATGTGTGTCTATGTGTATATGTATGTGTGTGTACACACACACACAGTGATCTCCCCTCATTTTATCCACAGAACAACCTCTGT